GAAGTAAAAGTAACTTGTTTGTTAATTATTATTTTTCTTTCTTGAAGATAAGTAAAGTAATATATAGAATGTAATGTAAAAGTAATAGCGCGCGCGTAGCGCGTGTCTGTTATATCACATAAAATTATAATAGCGCGCGTGTAACGCGCGCCTGTGTTGTGCTAGTATAAAATAAAAAATAAAAAATAAAAAATTTTAAAAGCTATTCCGTCTCTCTAAACCTCAATCCTATCTCAAAATATTTTGCTTTACAAGTTAAAACAATTAAAAAAGCAACAATGAAATGTAAAAAAAGAAACAATAAAAAGATACCAAGTCATCTCTTAGAAAGTAAATTCAGTATCGTTTTTCTAGTCTAGGAAAAACATATCTACTATACTCGTTAATGATTTAAAAGCATGTGGTTTTTTTTTAAATAAAAAACCAGAAGAATGCAGTTCTGATAATAAGAATGTGCAAGAAATAAAACAACAACGAGAGAAACCTACAAGACATGTATGAATTATATTCTTTTTTATCGCGACAAATCGTAAAACTGATTATCTAACAATCGTGATCATTATATATCAAACGGAACATCGCCGTCACAGGTGGCTGCTGTTGCGTGCAATTAAAAATTCTCGCTAGATGTACGTATGTACGTGTCGATTGAAATAAAAAATATGGGAGCATTGACATTACAAGTCTAGATAAAATCTGAGATAATCGCACATGTAATAAATCATCAGATGAAAAACTATGAAATAATTAAAGAAGATTGTTTTAAAGTAGAAAAAATGTTTCTTAATCGCAATTAGAAAAAGAAAGAGAAGAGAAAATGTCGCGATAAGAATTTTAGTAAAACACATTTTGTTTTATTTTTGACAAATTTGTAAATAAAAACTTTCTAAAATTTATATTAATTCTTTAAGTTACTGAACAACAAAGAATTTTTAATTAATACTTCAAACTTTACACCAACCGTTTTATTTTTTGAAGATATTTCACGCTCTAGATATTTAAATCTTGAGAGTGAAATTTTCCAGATATCTGCTAGCTTTTCAAATTTTTAGTCTACTTCGTAATTTAGAATGTATCTGTAGAAAGCCCCGGATATATCTTTGCCAAGAGAATTGGCAAACAATGGAGGTGAGGTCAGTGTCCAGTTACGTGGAACGTGATGCCGAGATCAAGTGCCCACAACTTGCATCCTGCCGCCGGTTATTCGGGCGTAGTTGTCAGTGTCCAAATCTATACGAGTGTGTAGACACTCGAATGTAGCCCCAGGACCTTTCACTGATCCCTTTCGTTCCCAGTCATTCGCGGTTTTCTCTAGCGTCGCTCGTCACCCCGGTGATGCCGCTTCGAGTTCTATGAGCTGGATACAGCAATTACGGCGGAAGAAAGTCGTTCGATCAAAGTCGTTCTTTCCGTGTCCCCCGAGCTGTTTCGCGCCCACACCCTCGTTTATTCGTGAGGACAATGGACTTTCGACACAGCAAAAAACACTGCCTGGAGACTGAGGTCACGTCTTCCGTGCAAATAAAATAGTAGTATTAATGACTCGGAAGAGCATAAAAGCAAAGAGAAACATGCACCAAAAACACTAAATAAATAACTTCTCTATACTTTTTACTTCTTTAGTAGAATTAAAACGTTTTTAGTAAATTTTAAACAAATAAAAATCGTACGATAATATAATTACATTTTGTTGGGAAGTGATGAAATTGTTACTAAACTTTGAGAATGTTAAATTTGTAATTTAAATTAAAAAATTTAATTGTCGCAGACAAATTTCGATCGTCAATTTTTCTTTTTTTTGTCACGGTAATATCCAAATAAATTTACTGTTAATCAACATTTTTCTATTTTCAATGTATTGCATGTAACATGAAATGCTTGAGGATATAATGAGTGTTTACATATCTAATCAATATCAAGATCCGGTTGAGCGTTTACGTAAACTAGATCATTTCATGCAAGACCGTGCGCGTAAAGCGATGCGAAGATACCGGAGAATACAATGCGCGAATCTTTTTATCTATTGTGCCCTAGGTACGAGCCGTGTCAAACTAAACCTAGGATCGCTCGTCAGACGCGTAATTGTCTGTGAAATCGGGATTTGAGTGACGGGTTTAAACGGCGTGAAAAGCGCCACGTGACAATTACGCTCGTTAAAGACTGGGAATAATGAAGCTTGTAAAGGTCACGTGACCTTTAGGTAACTTAAACGTCGAAGGTCTCAATCCGATTGAACACGGTCAATCATTCGTTCGGCAATGTCGCCATTGTTGCAGTTAAACACACCGTTCAAGAAGAGAACGCAATCGCTACAACGATCGTTAGATCCATCTTTCAAATCCGAACCGGATAATGCTTTCATTGGTCGCGCTTTTTTTTTTTTTTT